AGTAAAATAATGATAATAACATATGTAAAATTTCAAATTAGAAATTATTTAGATCAATAAAAAAGGTTTAAGTAAAACTTATTTAGTAATATAAATTAAAAATCATTCAACTGGGTTTAAAAAATAACCTTTACTAAACTATATTAATTATTTAATATAAATTTTAATTGAATAGAGTAATTTATGAAAAACTATTTTATTAAGCACAATGTTAAAATATTTTTTTAATTGATTTTAGTTAGATCCTAAAGCAAAATTGATTCTAAGATTTTAATATAATAATTCCAAACTTAAAATTTAATTATAGCTAGAACATATGATATTCTTTTGAATTTTTGAGATATTTAGTAAATAAAACCTCTTTTTTGGTTGGTAAGATATTTTAAATTTATTAAGAGTGTTATACAATTTATAGAATTCGAGTGAGAAGGTTCTAATTTAATTGAAAAGCAAAGTTATTTTAATGAAATTCGTATATTTGATTTAGGTGTAAAGTCTTAAAAACCTGAAAAGAAATGTTCCAACTTTTTGATTATTTTAAATCTAAATTATTTGAAATAATAAGGTTTACAATATCATTAATAGATTCTACCTTATTTTAAATAATATTGTATTCAAAAATCTTTATAGTCTAACCATGTGATGTCTAAGAAATATGACCTATAAAGAATCAAATTAAACAAAATAAAGAGTAATTTATAATCCTACATTTAATTGATAAATTTTACTATCCTCACTGAAAGAGCTGATAATGTTTAGCTTAAAAAATAAGCTATTAAAAGTGAAGCAATTATATTTAAAAAGCAGAAAGATGATATTAAAAATGAAAAAAATGTTATTGTATAAGAAAATAGAAAAATCAAATAAGAGATAAACATCTGGGAGGATAAACATCATAATTTAGTTAAATGTGCTGCAGAAACTGAACCTAAGGTAGAGGCTAATAAAGATTTAGCTAATGAAAGTGATGAAAGATTGAATGGATTGAAGATCGATTAAAAAAAAAGAAGAAGAACTATATTTAAAAACTTAAGGAAGATTTATGATTTTAGTTAATGAAATCAATTAATTAAAAAGAGAGTGTGATAATTTTAGAAATAGTAAAAAAAGAATAATAGATGAACTTTAATAAATTAATGAAAACATACTCTAAAGTACGATTTATTTAATAAATTGCTAAACTTTATTTTATATTTATTGATAAAAAGTTAATTAAACAATTTTATAGTGATTTAAATGAACAAGTTCTTTTTTATTAAGTAGAATAAAATGAATAAAAATTAAAGCGATCAGAAATTAAGAGATTATTATATTAACTGGATAATAGGCTTAAAGATTTTAAATTTTAGAGAGAAATATTATTAGTAAGAGTCTAAGATTTCGATAGAATTATAGTTTAAATATGGAGTTATTATTGAAGAATGAGAAGAATACATATTGTTGAAAAAATGCTACATCCGATTGATATGAAATTCCAAGTGAAGTACCCATATATCATCCTTAATAAGATAAAGATGTTATAAAATTGAGGAAAGGTCTTTATATTTGAAATAACAAATAATAGAGAGCATTGTATCAAGCTGAATATTGGAAGAATAGATATCAAGATTAAGAATTAGCAGAAGATAGAACTATTAGTTTAATGTCACATCAAAATAAGTATGAATCTGATCTTAAGTTTAAATTACCAATAGAATTACAAAGTATTTCAATAATGCATTTCTCCTTTGATTGGTGGAAGTTTTATTAAAAAAACGAAAGTTTAATCAGAAGGCACTTATTAAATAAAAAAACAATCTGTAATAAGGTTTAAAAAATAGAAGCTTTAAAGCAATAACTAGCTTTAAGATTTTCAAATCAAAAGTATTAGGGTTAAACTGAATTTAGGCCAATAATTTATGATGCAATTTTTGTCTAGTTATTAAATTAGTGGTTCTTTTTTTGTATCTGAAATCAAAAATTTTGTTTACATAATTATAACAATGTAATTGTAAAACTCGTGACTTCTAAAATATTTCCTCTCTTGTTTATTGTAGAAAGATCATGTGAAGTTGATTAGTTTTGGCTATTGAATGGTGTCATTTTTAATTTAGTTTACGTTCTAATGATTCATCCTGAAAAATGAATTACAAACAATTCTCTGGCTTTGGTTATTATTAAATTGAGTTTCTGACTCAGAAATAGTTTTATACAGTAGCTTGACAATGATGTTTAATATATGATCCTGCTTCCATCAGATAAATTCCAAATTTTAATTTATAGTAACCAGATCTAAAAATAAAATCTTATTATATATATTTAATTTATATATTGGGACCATTTTGAAAAAAAAACTTAAACTTTTTAGATCCAATCCTCCAAAACTAAATGAGTTCCAAAAAAATTGGAGGATGATATTTTTAATTCATCGTTTTTAACAACAGCATCTTCATTTGCCATTTTATATATGTATATGAATAGGAAATTTTAAGCATCATCATAATGATTGAAGATTCTCTTTTCAATTTAACTTTTATGATGATACACTTAAAATTAATATTTCAAACTTCTGAGATATCAAAAATCAATAGCTAAGCCAATAGATATTTTTTAATAATAGAAAATTCTAATGAGCAAAATCTATATTAATATAGCAATATAAGTAAAAATGAATAAAATAGAAAATGAAATTAATATTAATATTTGAATGTTTTTATTATCAAATTTTTGTGAATTCTTCAAATATTTCTTCTAAACTGCTATGCATAACAAAAAAATGCATTAAATGAAACACAGGATTTAAATCCATGTTTTTAAGACTTTTAGCTATTAATCTATAAATTAATATTCTTCCAAATACTGTAAGCGGTTCTATTAGGATTTGTGAAATCAGAATACTTCCTAAATATATAATGGCAAATATATATTATTCTGATTGCATTGAAATTCTATGATAGGTTAATAGATACTTTGTTATGTAAAAAATATAAATGATAAGGTTTGGGGACATCAATAATATCATATTTAGAAGGTGGCTAATAAAAGCAGCTATTCTTTTGAACCTATATATTGCTTCAATTATTTTATAAAGTATTCTTATCAACAAAATGATTAAAGGGTTGATGATTATGAAAACACAAATCAAAAGAATTTAAGTATTTAAAAAATAACATTCAAGAATTGTTAAAGTTAATTATAAATTGAATTAAGAGAATACTTCTAAAATTCTATAACTAAATTCAATATTTTTGTCTTTATAATAAAATAATGAAATAGTTTAATGGATTTGCTAATATAAAATTAAGTGTTACCTTAAATTTTTCTATATACACTTTAGAAGTACCATGATATATTAAACTATTTTTTTTTTTT